ATACAAAAAATTAGCTGGGTGTGGTGGCACACACCTGCAGTCCCAGCTACTTGGGAGGCTGAGGGAGGACAATCGCTTGAACCCGGCAGGCAGAGGTTGCAGTGAGCTGAGATGGTGCCACTGCACTCCAGCCTGGGCGACAGAGCAAGACTCCATTAAAAAAAAAAAAAAAACAGAAATATATGCCCAAGATGTTAAGTGACTAAATGTGCCAACAAAAATAAATAGCAGACATCTTATATCTAAGCATCCTGCTCTATCAGACCACTTAGCAGTACTGCAAACAAGGTGACTTAATATACGCATCTTATGCCAAAGGAACATCACTACCCCCACTACATCTGAAGTAACAGTCACAAAACCCACCACCAAAGAGAAGTAACAGCATAAAACTCCTTTTACTTAAAAACCCTAACTTTTATCATCTCATACTAACAACATCTGATATTAAATTAGCTCAAGACTTTCAGGTTATCATGAGAATTTATTTCCCAGGCCTGCGTTAAGCCTTATAAGGCTGATATAACCAAGAGAATAACCATCAAAAGTTATCAAAGACCTGATACAAAAAAAAGAAAGATGTTGTCTCCAATAGATGCTCCAGAATTTACTAAGAACTGATCTGCCTAATGACTTGCACCAAACAAGTTGCCACCACACTGACCAACTTCTGGTTTATATAAACTAATATTATAGAGTAACACTCACCATTCACACAATGTTTACTGTGTATCACCGTATGAGCTAAGAACTTTATAAACATCATTTTACATAATCCTCATAAAAACTGTCAGATTAGCCCCATTTTATAGATGAAGAAACTGTGATTCAAGAAGTTGACCTGCCCAAAGACAGAGCCAGGAAACAGTCAAGTCCAGGTTTGGCTGGTTTGCAAGCACATGGTCTTTTCACTGCACTACATTGATTTCCACCCTTCTCGTCTGGTCACTGCTTGTAAGTCTACATTAAATGATGAGTAAGCAAAGGACCATTTATTTCCTAATTCACAATACTGTACATGTCAGACACCATGAAATGGTCTCGTGTTCCTAAGATTTTAACAGAACAAAGAAGACAGAGACAAATCTTCCCTTCTCTGAAAATGACTTATTGAACCACTTTACACAGAGGTGGTTCATCTTTCATCTTTATGAGCTACAAGTCACCTCCTGTGAGAATTTTAAAATTTATTTTCTGTATAAATGAACTTTCAATCAGGTCACCACAATGTTTTAAAAATCTCCGGAAATTAGAAATAAAAAACTTATCTTGTTGGTTTAGGGTTTATACTTTCTTCTGGTAGGACTAATACATCAAAAAGTAGAACAACTTCTAAGGTCGAATTTGTGATCCAGGTAAGAAATTCCAGAGCTACCAAAATGATACTCCAGCCCTCAAATGTTCATGCAAGCAGGTGGTTCCAGTTCAACATGGGTAAGTCAAAGTCCCAGAAAATTCCCCAACTTAAAACAAATGACTTAACTGGTTTCTTTCTTTTCCTTGGCACTGCCAAGTATCTATCATTAATAAACTATAAAATAGCAAAGGGGAAAAAAAGAAGGGAGAAATATCCCAGAGTCCTTAGAGGTTCATTGAGATAAACTAAAATTGAAGACTTTCAAACTGTGAAGTAAGCCCTTTGCTTTACAGACAAGCAAATAGGCTCTTGAAGGTAAAACTGACTAAAGTAGGCACTGCCTAATGGTTAAAAGCACCAACTACGGTAGTCAGATAAATCTTACTGACTTAAATCTTGGCACCGTTTAAGTCTGCCACTTAGCATCTATATAGGCATTACCATGTAATTTAATCTCTTTGAACCTCAGTTTCCTCAAATGCAAAATAGGAATAATCCTTACCCCAAAGGCTTCCTGTAAAGATTGCTTTGGACAATGTTTAAAATAGTGACTGGCATGAAGCAATTAACTGTTGTTACTATTATCATCCCATAAAGTCTTTGGTGAAGCTGGAACAAGAACTCAAATTCTGAAGTCCAGTTCATGGTCTTCCAAGATTATCATAAAATCTGTAATTCCAGACTTGCCATCATTCCAAAATTCAGAGCTGAGATAACCATTTATCAAACACAGTCATCTAGGAACATTTAAGTGTCCTTCAACTGCTTTTTCTTAATATGGCAGTTCAAATATTAAAAAGGACACTAAAGGTTTTTCCCAAGGCTATGCTAGCTGAATAATCACTAATCAGCAACCTCACCTGTGTTTCAGGGCCATCATACTTAAGTGTGAGAATTCAGCCTAGGTGACTGCTACAGGCCGGCCATGGTGGCTCACGCCTGTATTCCCAGCACTTTGGGAGGCCAAGGCGGGTGGATCACCTGAAGTCAGGAGTTTGAGACCAGCCTGGCCAACATATAGTGAAACCCCATCTCTACTTAAAAAAATACAAAAATTAGCTGGGTGTGGTGGTGCATGCCTGTAGTCCCAGCTACTTGGGAAGCTGAGGCAGGAGAATCGTTTGAACCTGGGAGGTGAAGGTTGCAGTGAGCTGCACCACTGCACTCTAGCCTGGGCAACAGAGCAAGACTCCGTCTCTCAAAAAAATAACAAACTTCCTAAGCAAAATAAGACCAGGCTCTCACCATTTGACAATTTGCTTCACTACGTGGCAAAATTTTATTCCCTTTAAAGGAAAAATAGCAAAAATATTACAGACATTATGGTATCACAAACATGTTGTCTTTTCCACAAAAAGCTAAAAACCATTGTACTATTACTACATAATGGAAGTCTATACTCTCCTCTGAAGGGGGTTCTTCAGAGACTGGACCATTCATGTAGCTGCTCATCTCCTCTCCAGGTACTAGAATAGTAGAACACTTACCTTCATCTCAAAAGTAACAGGTGAATGTATTTAAAACACTAAAGAAGTTTTTACTCTACTGGACAACCTCCAAGAGAGTGGGCATTATGAATTAAACCTGAAACATTTCAGACCACGTTGGAGTGATGAGATTACTCCTTCATGAACTCAAGAACCATGAACACTGTATGTTTCTGTGGAAATTCTGGGGAAAGACTATCTAAATCGAGATATAAACAAGTTGTCGTTTCCTGCTTAGCATATACAAATAATATTCGATGTAGGGAGCACTTTGCCAGGAAGATAAAGCCAACTGCTGAAAAAATAAAAGTTTTCTTCTTGAAAGTTGTCATTTAAATGTCTTCTGTTTTCTTGTTAGAAAGTAAATACTTGCTATAAACCTAACTGTTTAGGACGTTGTCACTAGAGAGGGGAAACGGTTGATACTAAAATAGTCCAACACTTGGCGATCCAATAGAGTAGTACTTGTTGGATTCCTATAAACACTTGAATGAAACAACTCAACATATTGACTTCAAATAACTAAAGTTTGCATTTAGAAAATTTTGATCCAATAAACAAAAATCAGATTCTTCTGGATTAGCAACAAGTATTTCACTGATCTCAGTTCTTCAATACAGAGCTCAAGATATCCAGTGATACATTTCACTCCAGTGGGATACATCTCAAAAAGCAAAAAAGCAAAATTTTCTGGGGAAACGATTTCCATATAATATCACGGAACGAGTTACTGGTTACCTCAGTGGCACCTAAAGGATACTTACGAATTTGTGTGCAGATATTCAAAGGTTAGCTGGGCTCGATTCAGACTGCTGTAATTTGTGAAAGCCATGACTGCAATGAGGTCTCCACTAACTGGGAAATATAACCTTATAATGAAATCAGTTTCCCAGGATTCCGTTCAGTAAAGCTTCAGTAAGTCTGTGCTCCTTAATGACAGTTAAAAGTAACCTAGTAACTATCCAAAATATATGCAAAGAGTTGTTTAAAACTACAATTCCTTCAAGTGTTTTTTTTAATCTTCTCAATGATTACGATGTAATATTTTGGAAGGAACTATGTCATAAATCTGTAGTTTTAAGGAGCTTTTAGCATTAAGTTGCGATAGCTCAATTCAGACAATCTGAGTCTCGTGTGGATGGTCCTGAAGGAGATGGTCCTTGCGTGGGCGGTTTATGACTGCTCCATCTTCATGTTCTTCGAGCCTTTTTTGGTTCCCTGAAATTTCCTGTCAGGAAATTTACCAATCCGGAAATTTACCCACTTCTGTCAGAAAACTGATCAGCCATGTCTTCGCCACACGTAATGCCAGGATTCTTAAACAGGCCCAAGACCGGCGACCAAGATCTCGATGGAGTGTTATACGGCGCAAGTTGCAGCTTCACCACCTCCCAACTGAAAAAGTTCCTAGGCACTGACGACTTCTTTTTTCAAAGCCTTCTTTTTTCAAAGCCTGACCAAACCCAGTTCAGGGTGGGGGTCAGATTACCTCACACTTGGCCCACAAAAACACCTCACAAATGACCCGCCCACAGCACCTCGGGCAGGCCGCGCCCTGCCCCCACGTCCCTCAGACAACAGCCTCAGTCTCCCAGGCCCTTCCCGGGCCTCGGTCCCGTGGCAGCCTCCTCACGAAGAGGAGCTACTCCCGGTTTTCAAGGACCGGATCGAGGGCAGTGGCGAGCGCACCACCTGACCAGGCACTACCCGGATTTCACAACTGCCTTTGTCCCTCCCCGCGGAATTGGAACCCAACAGCCGCAGCGCGCTCTTGGAACCATGTGCTGCTGCTGCCGCCTCCGCCGCCGCCGCTGCTGCCTCCGCCGCCGCCCGCGCGCCGCGCTAGATGAGATGGTGACAGGACTCAGCAACACGAAATTCGGCGTTTAGAGCTGTTCTGCCGCCGCCGTCACAGACACCACAGACACCGCTTTGTCTCCGCTAGTGCACACAGCCCCGGCCACCTCGCACACTCCCCGACGCCCCAAGCCCCCGAGGCCTCCGCGGAGCATTCAGCCAATCACAAAGCTGCAGCTCCTCCCGCCCCCGCCCTGATGTACAGCCTCCTGATTGGCGGACTGCGTGTCCCCATGTGACCGGATCTTGGTTGACCGGTCCCGCCCCTGTCACGTGAGAGCGTGAGCCTCTCTTCCTGCTTTCCTGACCCTCTCCGCCATTTAAAGAAACAGTACCGGGGGCGGGCCGAGCGACGCAGCCGGGACGGTAGCTGCGGTGCGGACCGGAGGAGCCATCTTGTCTCGTCGCCGGGGAGTCAGGCCCCTAACTCGAAGAAGCCCTGGCGCGCCCTCCCCCCCTCCCGGGTCTGGTAGGGCGAAGGAACGGGCGTGCGGTCGATCGAGCGATCGGTTGGCGGCTCTTTCTCCTGCTCTGGCATCCAGCTCTTGGGGCGCAGGCCCGGCCGCCGCGGCGCGCGCCCGGTGGCCGTTGGCGCTCGCGCCGCGTCTTTCTTCTCGTACGCAGAACTCGGGCGGCGGCCTATGCGTTTGCGATTCGACGAGGAGTCGTCCGGGTGGTCGGCGGCGGCGGGCAGCTGCTCCGCCCCGCTCCGGGGGAGGCGGCGGCGGCAGCGGCCGCGGGATTTGGAGCGGCCGGGGAGGCGGGGGTGGCCGGGGCCGGCTTGGAGGCCTGGCGCCACCCTTCGGGGCCTGCAAGGACCCAGTTGGGGGGGCAGGAGGGGGCCGGAGGATGGTTGGTTGTGGGATTTCTACTTTGCCTTTTCCTTCTTATGCCGCCTTAGTGAGGGGCGGGAGCTCTGGCGGCAGCCCCGGGGTGGGGAGACGAGCTCCGGAGTCGGAAGAGGTGGGTTTGCTTCCGGGCCTAGCCACCAGCTGGCGGAGTGACCTTAGGCGAGTCACTCTGTAATTTTTCTGCGCCTCAGTTTCCTCCTCTGCCTATCAATGTGTGTGGGGTTGAAAGCGCTTTGTAAACTCTAAAGCGTGGGTGTACGTAAAGGATGGTTATTGTTTGTATTTTTTTTTGAGTTGTAAGAAAACTTAGCAGTTCCCCAATCCTTGGGTTTTGAACCTGGAAACCTTGGATTGGAGTTGGGGATCCCCAAACTCCCTGAAATTGTGGGAATGTGTGGTTTGGGGGAATGATGGGAATTTGTGGGAATGTGCGTTTTAGGGGAATGATGATCCATCGCTAGCAAGTTTTCCAAGGGGGCTGTGACCCAGAAGAGTTAAAAATCACAATTTCTTCATGCTACAGAGAGGAAACTGAGGCCTAGATGTCATTTGGGACCCTTCACAACCAATTTGAAGCCCCTGTTTGAGTCCCTGGGATATGTGAGCTGTTTCTATGCATAATGGATATTCGGGGTAACAACAGTCCCCTGCTTGGCTTCTATTCTGAATCCTTTTCTTTCACCATGGGGTGCCTGAAGGGTGGCTGATGCATATGGTACAATGGCACCCAGTGTAAAGCAGCTGCAATTAGGAGTGGATGTGTTCTGTAGCATCCTATTTAAATAAGCCTGTTTAATCTTTGGCCCGGCAACTTTTTTCTGCTGCTTGTACCGGTGCCTGACTACCTTTCTGACTCTCATTGACCATATTCCATGACCATGGTTGTCATCCGTTACTTGATCCTACTTTACGTGTCTAGTCTGTGTGGTTGGTGGTGAATAGGCTTCTTTTCACATGGTGCTGCCAAGCCCAGCTAATTAATGGTGCACGTGGACTTTTAGCAAGTGGGCTCACTGGAAGAGACTGTACCTGGCATGGAATTCCTGAAGATGTTTGGGTTTTTTTTCTTTCTTAATCGAAGGTTAACATTTTCTGAAAAGTTTTGTTAGAACTACTGCGGAACCTCAAAATCAGTAGATTTGGAAGTGATTCAAAGCTTAACTTTTTAACCTTGGCCCTGCTTGTGTTCTAATTGCTTGCAAGTGTAATACTAAGATGTCCAAGATGCTAGTTTTTGCTTCTTTGTTAATTGTCAGCTGCTTTTATCAAATTTCAGGCCATTATCCAACAAACACTATAAAAATGTTTGAACAGTTGGATTTCAAACATTTTCGTTTTGTGGAGTGGTGCTCACCAAGTGGTACAGCCCTAAGCAAGTGAACACAAACACATTTAAGTGTATTTTGTCTGATTAGATGTTAGCCGGTTATGCTATTTCATTCAAATGTCTGAAAAAATCAATTGACTATTCCCTTTTCCTAAAGGGCAGAGACAAATGATCTCACTTCCAGAGAAATGACTGTTTTGGAGGAAAAAAGTGTTGGTCTTTTTGCTCTTTTGTAATTAAATCTGGATGTACCTCAAAAGACTCTTAAGACTGTGGTGATAAGATGCTTTCCTCAGCAGAAAGGAGGAAAAAAAAAAAAACTGGAACTCAAAGCTTGAAATTCTGTGGCAAAACATGAGATGTCCAGGATTGGAGGTTGAAAAGATTTCACTACAGTGTTCTACAATAGTTGGAGCAGATAACTTTCAGTGTAGCCACAGCCGTGGACTCCAGATTTCCAGATTTTCAAGAACTGGACTTGGAACCCGAAAGAGCTTATCAGGATGTGGCAGGAACACTGGAGGTAGATATTTTTTTTATTTTTGAATTTTGGGACTGTTGACCTTGCTGTGAGAAAAGAGACAACGACTGAGCAAGCACTACCACCAGCACTGTTACTGGGAATTAGAAGACCTGAGTTTCTGTCCAGACCCTCAGTGGAAACTGAGGACACTCCATCCAAAGTGAATTATGGTACTTGCCATTTTCCAAAATGCGTTTTTCTTTACCATCTCTGCACTTTTGTTCATACTCTCTTTCTACTTTGGAAATGCTCCTCTCTGGCTTTTCATCTGTCAAAACTGTCATTTTCTCAGTATCCAACTCTTATGGTCTCTTTTCCATGAGTCTCCTAACTAGCCAGAATAGAACTTTTAAGTTTTAGGACATTTTGTTATGTATCCTCTGTCTGTATACAGAATCCTGTAAAATAGTTACTTGCCTGCATTTTCTGTCTTTGCAGATAGCAGACTCCTTGAAAGCAGAGTCCTTGTTTAGTGCATCTTTCCCACATACTCCACAACATACCATGAAACATTTATTAGGAAGGAGGAGTTTAGAGAGCAGGCTATCAGAATAACCACTCAGTGTTTTCTTAATTGTTATGTGATAACTAAAATTACTCTTAATGAGAAGAAAAGTCGCTAGATATGGGTCATGTTTCTTTATGTTTTAATGTTTTTTGATTCTAAATTTTGATCCAGAGAGCCCTCAGACATAAGGAGAAATCAATATATTGAATGGGGTGTTACATGCAGAAGGACCAAGACCTTATTTTCTCCTACTTGAGATGAAATCTTGTTAAGGTGAAAGGACAGCTTTTTAAAAGGAGACGGTCATAAGACAATTTGAGGAAGGCATTGGAAGAGGAAGAGGGGCAATTATATCTCCTTTGTTTTATTGTTGGTATATAAACTTAAAATCTCACTTCTTTTTATGCCACTTGTGGAGCCACTTCCTCTCCCCACCAAAAAATGCCCAGCACCCTGAATCCAATCAGATTACTTTCCCAAAGTATGAGGCTTAGTTTCTGTTTGCTGCTTCACTGAGACAGTTCCCACAAGTTGAGAGTGTTAATCAGGCTTTTGTGTGTTCTTTTTTGGATTGTTGTTGTTTGTTTTCATTTATCATTTGTCTTTGCCTAAGCCAGGCTCATCAAGAATTAACAGCCATCAGGCTACTGATGTACTGACAGCAGACCCACTTAGAGTCCTGTGTTTGTAATTCCATGCATTTGTTATCTTACCTGTTTTGTCCCTGCCCCTTCTAGTCCTGTGCCTCCTGATTGCTGAGTGTTCACCTGGACCTTCTGACTACCTTCCCTGTGCTATTCCATCAGCCTACAGACCTGGTACCTGGATTTTTGCCCGAGATGATTCCTACCACCTTACTACTGAAGAAGACACCCATTCCAGTGGACCACTGTGACCCAGGAGGCATTCAGCCATCATGATGTGGCCTTTACCTCCACTCCTGTCCTGTTCTACCCAGATTCAGCACAGCCCTTTATAGTGAAGTCAGAGTCCTCAAGCCAAATAGCTAAAGCTGTTTTATCACAACAAAGGCCTAGTTTGTTCCATGAGTGTGCATTTCATTTCTTCAGTTAAAGCCTTCAGAGACACATAATAAATTTGGACCAGGGGATTTTTTAGTTATTAATGCTCTCTGAAGAAAGGGAACATCTTTTTGAGAGCAGCATTGGACCATACCCCACAATCTCAAATGATTGAAATTCATGAACATCTAGGATCCCATGAAGGTCACTGGACCCTGTTTTTTCTACTTCAAATCCTGTAGTAGCCTACTGAATGAGAAAACATATTCTGACCCATTGGGATCAAATCAAAGGCACAGTGAACTCCTCATAGCATCTTCTTTGGAATTACTCAGGAACCAGAACTTTTTACACAAATGTAAGAAATTCTACCAAGGAGTCCCGTTACCTAAGCATCTCACAAGGCTGCATCAGATTCCAGAAAAGGCTTCTCTTGATACATCAAGGTAGAACCTCTATGGTAAATCCCCTCTGTTTATAATGCACTTTACAGTTTCAAAGCACTTGTACATACATTTATCTCAATTGTCAAAATAAGAGTGAATTATAATCTCTTTTTGCAAATGAGGGAATGTAAATTTTAAAACTTAAGCAGTTATCGAAAGTGACACAGCTGTGAAAGTGGTAGAGGCCAGGTTTTCTGACTCCCAGTCCAGTATTCTCCTTGGAATTACCCACAGTGTTAAAATGACTGGGTATTGGGAACCTCAGGAAATTTTCCAGCTTCCTGATCTGGTGCCCCTAGTCACATAGAATGTCTTAAGTGTGATCACATGATAGCTACATCTAGACCAGAATCCCATGGCAATATCCCATGGTTTAAGGGCATTTAAGACATTAATACTCCTGGGCCCTAAAAGCTTATCTATGGTCCTATCTCTGCAAACTAGTATTTACACAAAATGAGCCACCTGGTTTTTTTTAAAGGTAGTATTGTTTGTGGGTGTGTATAAATATGACATAGAGAAAGGTGTTACCTGCTAAGATAGTGAAGTATGTAAGACATGTCCCTTCCCCCAGTCTACATTGAGGTGTAGTGTATTAAAGGATCTCAGGAGACTCGCAGCAAATTACTACTGCTTCTGTGCTTAAATTCAGAAGTCTAATTTAAAAAAAAAAGACTTGTAGCAAAGAGTTCCATTTTGCTGTTTAACCCATTGTGTCCTAAGTTTAATCAAACACAAAAGGGTATTTTTTGCATCATTCCATCTAATGGAATGCAGAAACTGCTTTAGAGCAGTATAGCCAGTGCTTCCTGATTGTCAACAGATTGCCCTGGACACCCCAGAATAAGCAGCATCTTCAAAATCCCCGTTTCTCATACCTTGTTATTAACTGCTTGAATTAGTATGTCTCTGTCATCTGAGAGTCTTGCATCTTGACAATTACCTTTATTTTCTGTCAAGGGAATCTCTAGAAGATGTGTGGGGAGACATAGGAAAGGAATGGAGGAAAGTTAATTCACCCCAAATTGGATAAATTCTATGACATTTAGCAATATACTTCTGTGTTCCTAGAATTGTACCATAACTTTAGTTCAAGGGCATTGCATCTCAGGTGGGTTAAGGAGGTTGGGAAGGGGAGAAAAGGGTTAAGGAGATATTTTCTTCAGATTTATCAACGTCTGAGAAGTCATCCAGCCATGGACTTCTTGGAGTAATACTTACAAAGAATTGGATGCATTTTGCAACCTTGGGCAAAAACCCCAGTGCTGTTGCAACTGAAAATCATTAGCCTTGTTCTCTGATAGTTACAAGCCCAATTGCAGGCAATCAAAATTTATAGCCGACGAGCTCTAACTCCAACCTGTAATGTGGTCCATATTAGGGAAAGAATAGGAATACACCTTGGTTTACCCCAGGCTTTGCTTACAGTTTCTGCTTTCTGTGACCTATTTTTTGTATTTCAGCATTTTGTGACCGACTTATTCTTAGATCATTGGTTTTCCAAAGGCTTTGTGGCCATGAAGCCCTTTGAGTGAAAACTGCAGAAGCCCAGAGTAAAAGTGAAGCTGCTCTGGATGAAGCAGTGAAGCAAGAGTAGGGGCCTGAAGCCTGCTACAACTATCTTCCTTTGCCACCGTGGTGACACCTAAGGGGACTTCCTTACAACACCTTGAACTCTCCGGAACACAGTTTGAAAACCACTGCCCCAGACAGCAATATGTTTGACCTGAATGGCATTCCAATCTTTTCTGTACCTCCACTCAGCACAGTTCATGTTCAGTTGATGCTGAACATTCTTAGAAATACTGTGTTTGAACTTAGAAAAGTGCAAGAAGACAGGCATGTCTTTGACCCCAGGAATGATCATGGGCTGAAAGTGGTGTCAAGTGAACCTAGATTAACAGCCCTCCACTCCAGATGGATATCCAGTGATTCCTAGAATGGGATATAGCCAGAGAACAATTCTATGCACCCTACACTGACAGACTCCCTTAAGCAACTTCTTTCACAAACACCAGATGCTCTACTGGTACTTGAAGTACATGACTTTGAAGTCTTGACCCTCCATGGATACCTGAATTGCCAGCAAGCGGGTTTTGAAGCTGGTGCCTCATTGAGGGCATATTAGAGCAACTTGTACATTTGACCTCTTGTTATCAACCATGGTACTCTACTTCGTGTACAAGAGATAACTATGAAAGCCGAATTCAAATACTGGCAACATTTCCTAAAGGGGCTCAATATCTATCATCTTCTTTTCCAAACTACACATCACTGTATGACTCAACCAGTAGCAGTTATATTGCCCCTTGGTTTTTATTCAGTTTAACTACTGTTTCCAAGATCAATGAGCTAATAACCTTAAAAAAAAAAAAAAAAAAGCAATTATTTTTTCTTCATCACTGGCATATCTGCCTATTCTCCAGAATTATTATGACTACTCAGCTCACTTTTAACAGTTGATCTTCAAGAGACAATCTTTGAACACCCCTCCTCATGTGATTTAAAATGAAACCATTTGGAAAAGTTTCTTCTAGCCAATAATAGATTTTTTTTTAATTGCTCTGCCTTGTGCCGAGAGATGTTATTTTAAGATGAATCTTTTGATGTCTGATACCACCAACTGTAGATGGTAGGGATAGTTGGAGGCTGGCCCTTTGAGCAGGCCATGATAGCTTACTTGCTGGGCATTTCAGATAGCTTATTGCCTACCCTTTTGCTGGAAACAGACTGATTTGAAAAACAAAATCTATGAAGACTGCAGCTAAGGATTTTATCAGTAGACTTAAGAGCTTTTGTCCTTGTGGATATTTTAGTGGAACCACAACAGTCTTAATACTGTCATTTTACACTGACTCAGAGCAGCTGACGTCATTCCTTGCCATGATATATATTTAAGGCAGGCATTGTAACAGACATTAAGACAACTTATCTGTTTCAGCAGGAAGGATTCAGTTTATGGACTCTCAGACCGGATCATGTTGAACAAGGCGATTTTGATATGTGTCATGAGAAAACTCATCCTTTACTTCCCAGTCAATTTAAAGGCCAGCTATCCTGAGCTACTCGAATGAATGCGCTGGTTAAACATTGGGGATAGTTTATATCCTCTCTCTCTAGGCCAGTTGTGATTACATGACTCCACTCTATATCTTGTCAAACAAGGCCTAAGTCTGGTTGCTGTAGACTGCTCACTCTCAACAAATCAAAATAAAATCTGGATGACTAGCCTGCTTGTATATACAACTATTATTTGTAAGAAGAAATTATCTTCAATTTTCTACTATCTTCAAATTGTCAGCTTTTTTCCTCTCTGATTTTTCCTGTGCTTTACAGAAAAAGACATTGATCTATACTGCCAATCCCTCTAATCCTGCCAACTCATTCAAAATGAATGACTTAAGATGAAGATGATCATCTGCTCAAGAGTCTAAAATATACATTGTAAATAAGAATTGGTGATTAGAAAAGCAAAAAACCTGAAACTTAAACCTAGGAGTTTGCCTACTATCTCCATGTCTCCATGCTTCAGATCTCATCTGAATCTTTGAACAGCACCATTCAACCAATCTGAGACCTTGGCTTGCTTGTAAGATGATTCTCAGAGATCGGCTGAGTTAAAAAAGATGACGACTTGATTACCAAAGAAAGTAGGGCCAACTTTGACAAACCTGGCTCTGCTGACCCTGTCATTCCCAGATGTAGCATAGACTCCTAAACAGAACCTCAAGTCTGATTGAGGATAAGGCCTTCTCCTGAGCTGAAAGTTCTTTGGCAGATGAGCAAGAAACTGAAAGCTGATGTACCTGACTGGCTCTGTAAGATCAGAAAACTGTATCCAGAATAAGCCCTATGGATTAACCCCTGAGTACCCAGGGTAAAAACTAATTTACAGAGCTTCCTTATTGATCTGCCCGTTCTTCCAGATCATATTCTGGCTATTGGTATGGCTGGCCTTTCTGAAGCTGCCCTGCTTGTCTATTTTCGTGACTCAGCTCTTGCCTGCCCTTTTCACATGTTGCTGCAGTTAGACTCACTGACCTTGAGAAGACTACAGCCAATTTTAGTGTATCTTGTGCCCAATACAACAAGGATTTTTAATAGAAACAACCCACACCTCACCTGCTAGGACTCAGTGTTCACAACAGGAAGGACCATGTTGTATACTACTTGACCAGCAGCTTTTTTAAAGATATTTTTAAGTGCAGAGTTAGCCTCTATTCCTGTATGTATTTGATCATTTTCAGCACCTGGAACCTCATCTATCAGGTCTGGAAGGAATACAGCAGATCGAAAGCTGTGTCCATTTCTCTTCTTCAGTAGTACAGAAATGAGTCTGATTCACCAGTACACACAGAACTGTACCAGTTCAGCCTGGCAAAAGAACAGTTTCCACTGTACTTAAAATTTACCGCCAACTCAAATTGCCTCACAGAATTATTTGATGTAGGAGGCTAGTTGTCTTGCTTCACATCAGCAGGACAGTTGGACTCTCAGACTCATGACCACTGAGTTTACTTGTATTGAAACTGTGGTTTCATCCGAAGTATGCTATTGGACTTGATTATTATCTCATTCAAGTGGATTACAGACTTACTGAGGACAGGACAAACTTATCTCTCATGGTGTTTTTTTAGAATACTTTTATAACCAAGGAAGAAACCATGCCAGCTGTTACCATTCAACTTCTTAAGCAGAGATTAAGCTTTTTCATATGTGTTCGTATCCTAGACATTTTCATATCTGTTCTTATCCTGGACATCAGTAGTTTTTAATTGCCCAGCATCCGTTCCATCTCATTGTAACAACTCCCTGATGTTTCTTAAAACCACCTCTTCCTATTTTCAGTCTGTGGTTTGGACAGTCTGACCCAACCTTGAGCTTTGTGGGTGGACGTGTAATTCAGACCTCATCAATCAGCAAATCCATCTGAACTGTGGAGGAGAAGCTCTCTTTACTGAGGTGCTTTAGCTTTGTAGGATGAAAACCTCAAACCAACAGGGCCTGCCATGTAGAGAATGAAGCCAGTGCAGGGGAAAGTAGAGCCAAAATATGGAGAGACTTGAATCCTGATGACAACGTTTGTGCCCCTGGATCCAACCGTGCCTGAAGCTAGTATATCCCCTGGACTTTTCAGTTATGTGAACCAATAAATACCCTTTTTTGCTTAAGTTACTTTTGAGTTGGGTTTCTATTACTTGAAATTGAATCCAGACTGATACATCTACCAACTTTGAAACTTGACAGATCCAAGTATTTATTAAACTAGAGGTCATGGTCACTGAAATTACTTTCCAAAGTGGAAGACAAAATGAAACAGGAACTGAGAGAATATTTAAGATACCACAGAAACATAAAAATGACATAGTAGAAAGTAATAGAAAACCTAAATGTCTGTCATTAAAGGATAGGTTAAGGTATGGTTCAGCCATATAGGAAAATCTTGTATCTATTAAAATGAATAAAGTAAATTCATTGTGTATGGAAAAATGGCCATGATACATTAGGTGAAACAAGCTACTGATAGAAAAGTGTACAGTGTGAAATCATTTTAAAATGTGTGTGCTTATGTTTATAAATGCATAAAAGTCTATTCACAGCTTTCTTTGAACAGTGTAGATTACATGACACTTTCAACTTTATACATTTCTGTATTAATATTTTACACTACCCACATTACTTTTAAACTTTATTTTAAATAAAGAATTTTTTAAATTAAATATAGTGCTTACTGTTTGACCTTGGCAAGTTATTCAACGCTGAGCCTGTTTTATCAAATGATTTAAAATACCCACTTTTATGTTCGTAAATATTAAATATAAATTATTCATTACTCAAGTTGACAGATTGCTATACCTTTACTTGTTTGAAAAACTCAGAGCTCAGTAATTATTCCTTAATTTTTTAAGCATGTCTCCTTCAAGTGAGTTTGGATTACCAGAATTTTAGGATTTTAAGGTTGATCAAAGATTATTCTAGTTCTTGACTGATGTTAATCCAAGACTCTGTTGCAGTATCCACATTAGGCAGAGAGCAGGGGGAAGTCACTTTTTAAAAAAATCTTTGAATTATTCTGATGGCACTGCAATTAAGGTCAATAGTGACCTTTTCATTGGTAAATCCATTACACATGCATCTTATCTGAACTTTCAGCAGCACAGATAACTCCCACCAGCTTCTTGAAACACTCTTCCCTTAAGTGCTATAATAATTTTCATTTTCTTTTCAACTTGCTGACTACTCCTTTATTGTAGGTTCTTCTCCCCATCATGTAAATATAGGTATAGTGGACATCCGTTGCTTTGGCTTGCCAAAAATCACTTCCCCTTTCCTTTAATGATACATCCCCACTTATCCTTTAGAAAGCTGCTCCTTCGTATTTCATGTGGTGTCACTGGAATTATAGATGATAGTACTCCAGCCTCATGCCCTGTGGCTGAGGTTTGAGCAATGCAAGCTCGTTCTATCCCATCAGGACTTTGATTCTTAAGAGAGGTGACCACCACCGAGCAAGACTTCATCTCAAAACAAAACAAAACAAAACAAAACAAAACAAAAATAGCCAGGCATGGTGATGGGTGCCTGTAATCCCAGCTACTCTGGAGGCTGAGGCAGGAGAATCTCTTGAACCTGGGAGGCAGAGTTTGCAGTGAGCTGAGATTGTGCCACTGCACTCCAGCCTAGGTGACAGCAAGATTCTGTCTCAAAGAAATAATAAAGTGGATAAAGCAGGCCAGGACCACTGAGTTAGAATGGTTACTTTGATTGCATTTGCTATTTTTTTAATTGTATTTTTATGTATATATATTTTTGAGACAGTGTCTCACTGCAATGCCCAGGCTGCAGTGCAATTACACCATCTCAGCTCGCTGCAATATCTGCCTCCTGGGTTCAGGCGGTTCTCCTGCCTGAGCCTCCTGAGTAGCTGAGATTACAGACACATGCAATCATGCTTGACTAATTTTTGTATTTTTAGTAGAGATGTTGGCCAGACTGGTCTCGAACTCCTGACCTCAGGTGATCTGCCTGCCTTGGCCTCCCAAAGTGCTGGGATTACAGGCGTGAGCTACCGCGCCTGGCTTCATTAGCTATTTTAAAGTGAAGGGCATCAGCTCAAACCCAGAAACTGACCTGTGGGCATAGAATAAAATACAGGGTCTTTTTGTGTCCAGGATAAGTGAATCTCTGTGCTTAAATCCAAACTAGTACTTGGAGATTAATTATTCAAATTGAAAAATTACAATGCTGGTTGAATTTGTAGCAGTACTAAGGTCTCTTTTATGAGAGTTAAGGTATTAATCAGAAAGGAGACTAAATTATGTATAGAGTGCTGATATCTGGGAAGATTGAGAAGATTTAGAGAATCCCAATCCTCCAATATCTCAGGAATGAAGGTTTGGGTAACCCTATTAGTCAAAAATCCCTGACTGAATGAAACAAAAAAGTACAGTCAAAAGAGGAAGAAATAAATAGCAGCTATAGACTCATAACCTGTTGGAGAAGTAAGATCTGTAGTCTACCCTGCATCTCTTCATTTGCCTTATTTTATTTCCCCCTCTCCTCTTTATTCATTACAGTAGTCTGCCCTAACATTTCCTGGCTGAAGTTTGAGCATGATGCAAGTTAATCCAGTCAGATTTCTTCTCCATTGGAGCTGAGCCATTCTAATGGCAGTGTCCCCTCGTTGATGTGTATGAGTGTGTTGGTGATGCTTAAAATATATCAGGAAATCCGTAAATTGCAGATTATCAAGATGGGGTTAAGAACTAGAGAAGAATGAGCATCACCCGGAAATCTTAGGCTTATAACTAGAAATCATTTTAGGTTATCTCCCTTTAAGAGGGAGATCTCTCTTTAGAGGGGATTATGTTGAGTGAAGGTATTAAGATTGTTCATGTTGAAGAATGCATGTCCACATAGTGCACGTTTTGCCTACCCAATGTTATCTTTTTCCCCTCTGAGAATAGCACTTCACTTTTCCTTTGGGAAACTACCCCTTTCCCATGCCATGTGAGCCCAGAGGATAATGTGTAAGAGGTATATGAGTTTCTGAGAGCAATATGAGAGGCCTTCACCTGCCCAGATTCCTGACTTTAAGTCTCCTTGCCCTGTAGACTCTGAAAAATCTCATCCGTTCCCATGGCCTTGGTTTCTAACTGTATGTTGATAACTTCCAGATTCCTACCTTTGGCCTTGATACGTGTCTTGAGCTCCAGATCTGAATGCCCACCTGTATCTGGATGTCCCCTGCTTGATTAACACAAAGATACTCTCACCCAACATAATAAACGCTGACCTCTTCGTTTTTTCCTTACAATCTGCTCTTCCTCCAGTGTTCCCTTTCATGGTAAATGGCACCACCCTCTACTCTGTTTCTCAAACCAGAACATGAGAGTTATTCTCGAAGCTTCCCTCTCTCCCAGAGTCCCTGTTAGTCATTAAATTGTCTTGGTGTTAGCATGTAAATATATACCTTAAAACTATCTCCACTTCTATCACTTTGTCCAAGGGAACATATATCTGATGCTATAAGTATTATAGTGCCTTTCTAGTGGTCTCACTGCCTCTGTTATTGTCCCACTACATACAGTCTTCTCTACAGAACAGCTGAGTACCGCCCCCCGCAAGAGATAGGGTATCACTGTTGCCCAGGCTGGAGTGCAGTGGCAATCATAGTTCACTGCAGCCCCAAACTCCTGGCCTCAAGCATTCCTCCTGCCTCAGCCTCATGAGTAGCTGGGACTGCAGGCATGTACCACGATGCCTGGCTGGCCATTTATTTAGTTATGTATTTTGTAGAGACATCATCTCACTATGTTGCCCAGGCTGGTCTTGAACTCCTGGCTTCAAGCAGTCCTCCCACTTTGGCCTCCCAAAGCACTAGGATTACATGTGT